TAAAATATTGCCAGAAATTTATCTAAAATATTTTGGTGCCTGCAAGGATCGAACCGAACCTTGAATCTGTGACCTCCGACTTAGCTAATACTTGGTGGTGTAGACGAGAGCTTGGGCTTAAGCCTTTCTTGAGCTGATAAATGAGCTTGAGCCGGTTCGTTTATCACTATTAATGAGTTGAGATCGATCTTAACGCGTGGAGCTCGAGTCTTAACAAACTCGTGATATAGAATACTACAAATAAATCTTATTTTCGAGCCTAACGAGCCTTGAAAAACGTGCTCGAGAGTGCCTTGTTTTCTATCAATAAGCAATCAAACCACTGCCATGCCACAAATTGATTTTAAGTCAATGTCCACAATATATATGTATAACCTAGATTAAATTAAAATGTTAAACTAAAATAAATTCAAAAGTTATGATAGATTAAATTAAAATAGCTTATAATAAATTAAATTGAAATATTAACTTAAAATAATAAATTCTTACCTTTATATTGGATATAAAAATAAAATAGACTAAATTATATAAATTAAAATAAATTAAATCGGAATAACGTAAAATAAAATAAATTAATAGCACTTAACATAAATTTAAAACTAAATTATTATTTATCAGTTAATGTTAAAGCTATAATTTAATGTCATTTTATTAAAGATTTCAATAAATTATTCTTTTCGAAAGAATAAAGTATAAATACAATTATCTATTTTTTTATTTAATTTTAAATGGTCATATATTAATTTGTTTGAATTACCATTTAAAATAATTTATATATTTCATTTTACTTTATTTAATTTATGTTAACATAATGATTTTTTTTTTAATTTTATTTATATTAAAGTAAATTTATTTTATTTTATTGTTTAAAATTTAATTAGATTTACTTTACTGATATTTTTTATTATTTAAATTATTTTCTTTTGCTCTCTGTTAATTTAATAATTTTTTTTTTTTTTTTTTTTTTATTTTAAACTTTTGAATTTAATGAAATTTACTTTAATTTATTTTTTATTTTTTTATTTTATTGTATTTAAGTGTTTTGAATGTGATAAAAAATTTTTCAGTTATCTTACTTTTATTCTTTTATTTCGTTTACGAATGTATTTATTTTGATTTATGTACTTTGTTATCTATAACTAAGTTGTTACACAATAACCATTGGGATGTCTTGGCCTACTGATTCTAGTTCCATAATTCTAGCCCCACTGGCTGCGTTCTTTTCATTCTTTTCGATAAATGTCACAAAAGAGCGAAGTGGTAAATTAATAAATTGTGTAAAATGAAAAATGAATAATACTCGCGGTAGTCATCCTGTGTACTGCACACCCCATTATCTTTGACTGGAAGGAGGGAATTGTACAAGCCAAACATAAATAGGGGTTTCATGCATTTTCAAAATATAGGGGGAAATCGTGCTATTCCGAATAAATAGAGGCAGATTTCGCGCAATAAACCCCAATGAAAAATGTGCTAACTGCTAGTTACTTAGGAATAAATGAATTGCCAATGACTTCTCGATAAGCTTTCTAATGGCAGCAACAGTTCAGCATTGTTGTATGGAATTTCTTAATATGACACAATGAGAAATTGAGAAAAATGTAAGGTATTGGTTCACAGCGATTTGATTGATCATCTCAATTAATATTGACAAAAGTTAGCTCATCCACCTTGGTTGGGGTGTTAAGAAATTGAGAAAAATGTAAGGTATTGGCGTACTACATTTCTGCGCTTTATATTACAATTCGGCCCCAAGTTTCAACCTAATTATAGAGGTGTTTAAATAGTTATTTGTGGTGAGTGGTACCCAGGCGTACCAATTGGAATATTTGTGATTTAACTTTGATCGTGACTCAAGTACTTCATTTGAATCGCTCTATGATTGCATTTTTCTTTGGACCTTGGTGCGGGATGTAGTGGGGTTAAAACAATATCAACTTTACACTTTTTATATCTACTCAACCTTTTATTTTACTTCTTTCCGAATGTGCAAACGAAAAGGATATCTACTCAAGCTTTTAATCCTTGAATAATTTTTCTTGTTTCTTGCTCTCTTCATCGTTGACGTGCAGGGAAAATAAAAATCTCACTGGCACAGCTCGTTATGCTAGTGTAAACACCCATCTTGGAGTTGGTAAGTCAACCTTATGGTTGTGACTAGAAGAGTAAACCGGACCTTTCTTTTGATTTCTCAAAGAAGAATTAGCTCACTAACGTGTTGGCCATTTTCTGAAAGAAATAGATAATTGCGATATTCATTTACTTTAATTATGACTACTAATTGCAGAACAAAGCAGAAGGGACGATTTAGAATCTCTTGGCTATGTCCTTATGTATTTCCTTAGAGGAAGGTGGGTATAAGTGCTTCAGATTTTCTGCACATGTAATTATTAGAAATTGAGATTTAGCTTGTTTTTAATACCTTGTAGTTGTACATAACCTATTTGACTCTTTCTGCATTTCAGCCTTCCCTGGCAGGGACTGAAAGCTGGCACAAAGAAACAGAAATATGACAGGATTAGTGAAAAGAAGATGCTTACACCCGTAGAGGTATAGTACCTTGCTATATTGTGAACATTGGCAATGTGAAAAATAATTACAATTCATTTATTTACCCTGCTTACAAATTTAAAATTGTTGATCTGATGACAATATCTGCAACTGCTGACAGGTCTTATGTAAATCTTATCCATCTGAGTTCATTTCTTATTTTCATTATTGTCGATCCTTGCGGTTTGATGACAAACCTGACTATTCATACTTGAAAAGACTTTTCCGGGATCTATTTATTCGGGAAGGCAAGCATATTTGAGACCTTTTCACTTTCTATATGTATCTTACTTTTACCCCTATTATTGTTTTTCTCTTATATTGGAAACTGACCAACCCAACTTTTAATACCTCTATAGGTTCCTGTTGATGACTGTAGTATTGTTGCAGGTTATCAGTTTGATTATGTGTTTGACTGGACTGTATTGAAGTATCCACAGATTGGCTCCAGTTCTAGAACACTGGTCAGTGTTGACTTGATTGCTCATGGGTCAGGATAATCATTGTACATGAATGAGCTATTACCTATGAACCTATTTGTTTTCTCTATTTGCAGCCAACGGGAAAGATACCTATAAACATGGGATCATCCGCAGAAAGAACTGAGAAAACCCCAGGTCGGCTTGACTCATAAATATCGTATTTTATTCTCTTGAAATATTTAATTGAATATCATATCATCTACCATTGAATTAAAATTGTGCTCAGGGAAATGAATTTTTGTTTTGAACTTTTCTGATTCTTATCTTCTGTAATTAGCGGTATTAGCAGTATTCTTGTATGCCATGTTGTGGATACAATATGTGTGTTGGCGCTAGTGTGTACTTGAAATTATAAATAGTTTGTCATGGCTGATGAATTTCTCCAATATGCATCTGATGTAGTGAAGCAAGAGACTCGAGATAGATTATCTGGTGCTGTGGGGGCATTTGGGAGAAGAAATGGTTCTGGCTCAGGCTTGCATGGAGATCCCTCCCGAAATAGATCTTTCGATGATGCACCATCACGTAAAGATGTGGTAGGGAGTAATTTACTAACGTCTTTCTCATTATCCATTTTTAGAGTTTTCTTTAGAGAGGATCCATTGTGGTTCCCCACTTACCCTCTTGGTGACTTGAACTCGAGACGTATTTGTCCCAAGTGAATGGTGCTACAAACTGAGCTAGCCCTTCTCGTCATCCATGTTTTTAAACCAAAAATCTTACTCTAGACTTTGTTCAATTACAAAAAAAATAACTTGTCTTTGAAAATTACAAGTATCCACTTGATAGATTCCTCTATTTTTACCATCTGCACAATGAGGGGCTATTTTGTTATGAAAAATACAACTTTTTGGTAATTCATGATTCATAAATGTGACAAGAATGATGGGGTCGGCCCTATTTACATTCGCATCCTGTGTTTGGCATTAAAATTCTTGCTTGCATCGAATTTCTTGTTTTTATAGCTAGGAGTGCCTAAAACATTACCATGTTTTTTTTATGGTACAGCAAATTGATTCTGATCGTGGTCGGATTTCTCGGCCTGGTAGTTCTTCAAAGAGAGCGGTGATATCAAGCAGCAGCAGGCCCAGCTCATCTGGCGAGCCCAGCGAGAATCGTCATAGCCGACTCGGAAGAATATCGACCACTCATAGGCTACAGCCTGGATTCGAGTCGAAATCGTCATCTTTCACCCGTGCTGCTGCTTCAAGAGGCATCCGTGACGAAACTCTTCGAAGCTTTGAGCTCTTAACAATTGGCTCCGGAAAAAGGAAATAATTGAAAATGTTTGTTGTGGTTTTGGCTCCAGATATCAGCCCTGGGGTATGTTGTGATGTTATTTCTCTACTTGGCGTCCTTGTATGGAGAAACAATTGCTCGGTTTTAGCTGCAAGAATTTGGATATCTGTTATCAATATTATTTTTATTTCTTTCCCTTTTCAAGTATAAAGTGTTTGTTCCATGCCTATATTCGTCATGTGTGATCCTGTTGTAATATGATATCAACTATGTGATTATTATTGATCTAAACGTGGCTATTTCCATGAAATATTCTTATTAATTAAAGGTCGTGTCTGTCTTGGTGCCTGAAGTCCCATCCCCTCTACCTCCTTTTTGTTGTTTTGATTTTTGATTTTTTTTTTTGGTTATTTATTTATTTTTTATTTTTGGCGTCTGGCTTAGTTGAGCTGTAATATTCCATTGGTCAGTGAGCATTTTTCCCGCCGCACAATTGGGTAATTAACACGTATGACATCATAAAGAGGGACAGCATGAAGAACCGCCGAACTGAAATCATTCTACTACCCTCTTAGCACTTCACTATTACAATTATGTATTTTTAAAAGTCATTTTTAAAGACCAATCAATTTTTAATAAATGTGACGGTTCTTCATCTATCTCTTCCTTCTCTCGCCTTTATCTTTTCACTGATTTTTCCCTTTTTTCTCTTATCATTTTTCTTCTTCTTCTTCTTCGTTCTTTTTCTCGCATATCCGAAACCATTTATTTTTTTCCAAGCTCTCATCTCTTCTTTCCTTGAGATTCCACGACCTCCCCGTCCCCATTCTCCATCTCCTCTCCCGGTAGAGCCTCATTGCAAACTCTTACCCGCAGGTTCTCAATGTCAGAGGCGGTTAAGATGGCGGCGAGCCGGCGACACGGTTTGGCAACCTCATAGGCGTGCGACCTCAGAAGCTGCGAGCCTCCCCCAAAAAGTTTTCAGGAAGTGTATGATTGAACTTTAATATTTAATGTTCATGATATTTATTAGAATAATGCTACAAGTACATAATGGTGTACATAACACTCACATTGAGTGAGTCCCACTAAAAAAAATCAAATGGACCCTACTCCATGTGAGTATTATGTACACCTTTATGTACACCATTATGTACTTGTAGCATTACTCTATTTATTATTGTGATGAACAATTTTTTTAGGATTATGTTAACAAAATTCCTGGTACAATGAACTTAATTAGGTTAAACATTATTGTTTTTCTTGCAATTTAGATTTATGCTTGCAAAATAAAATTTTAAAAATCTAATCCGTCATTCGAATAGGAAAAGGTGTATCCTCATTCACAAATTCTCTTTGTTTTTATGTTGCAGATGTTTTGTTGTTGTTTAATTGTATCTTATTTGTTGTTTTTCTATTAAATATATTATTAACTTTTTAAGTTGCAGTAACAAATATTTTGTGTTGCTTTTTAAATAATTTAATTGTTATGTTGGGTATATAACATATCGATCAATCTTATTGTTATTATTTTTGTTTCTAGTGTTTTTTTTATGCAATCATATTCATATCGGAAGATTTTTTGTAACGTCCCGTCTTTTATTAATAAATAAAAGGTACTAGCTTCTGAGTATAAGCTAGCCTTTATTAATAAATACTCGATGTTAGTATTCGAGCTTAAGTTATTCAACTAGTCAAGTTCCAAGTTCGACATTAAGTCGAAAGTATTTTCGGTTGATTTTATTTATTAACCGAGTTAAATTCTGGTAATTAATCTCAGTCCGTTTATTTAATAAATGGACATTAGTAAGTTCGGGATTAATTATTCCAGTGTTGACGTATTAATCAAACTCGAGAATATCCGAGGAATCGTCAAAGTTGAGTTTCAAGCCTAGTTAGTAAGTTATTCGGATATAAGTTTGACTTTAAGTCGATAATCGATTCGGTTTAATTAGTATTCAGTAACTGAGTCTGTAACGCCCCGAATTTTATTAATAAAGGAAAATACTAGTTTTCGAGTATAAGCTAGTTTTTGTTAATAAATATTCATGTTAACGTTCAAGTCTAAGTTATTCAACCAGTTAAGTTCCAAGTTCGACGTTAAGTCGATAATGTATATCCGGTTAATTGTATTTATTAACCGAGTTAATTCCAGTAATCAATCTCAGTCCGTTTATTTTATTAAAGGGACATTAGTATATTGGGATTAATTATTGGTAATCAAGATATTCGAATTAGGTTTCGAAGTCACGTTTATGCTCAGAATAATTTAATTCCATGTACTGAAAATTAATCCATGTTTAATCGCTCAATAAAAAAATATTACCGAGCCTAATCATACTTAATCGTGCGCTAATGTAGTCACGCTAGGCGTACTTTGTTGGACCTAAATACACGGTCATTACCTATGATTCATGCTCCATTATACACACTCTTAGTGCTAAGCGGCAGCATGATCATGCTTAATTAAGCACGTATAAGCCATGCTTGATTCACACAAATTATCAAGAGCTTGGGCAAGTCACGTGCTACCATCGTTTTATTAAAGCTAGGTGTCATCTTCTTAACATAATATGGTGACTAAGCAAGAAAAAGGATAACTAAGCCACCAAAGTGCACGGAAAATGGCAAAAGCTTATTGGTCATGAATTTTCTTGTATTCTCATCCCAAATTCACCGTGCTTTAACCCTTTATAAATCTGATATGTTGGTAAAATAAATATATGGGAATACCTAAGCTATGTATTAAGCAAGTACTAAGAGAGATTAAGATAAGTTCATTTTCTTACACACGCACGCAAGGCTAACGCATGCAAGCTTCATTCGGGTGAACCATCACGTGAAACTTTGTACAATTGATCGAGCAATTGAAGAGGTAAGCTCGTCCTGATCCTCTTTCTAAGTTAATAAGATCATGTTCAGTCTTATTCATGTAGTTAAGTTCGTAAATCGATCGTATTTGCGCTCGATCGAACCATGTTACATTGTCTCGAGCCAAGTTCATGTTAATCGGCATATCCCGAACAAATTATGTTTAATTGGTTATTATAAGTCATTTCATGTCCAGTTAGGTGATGATGGTCGAGGG